GAGAACGATGAGGGCAATTAATGTACAAATGCGCTTTACACAATTGATGTATGTGTGGATTGTGATAAGAGTTGTATCAGCCCCTAATAAAGTGATTAAAAAAATAAAATAAAATAATAAAAAAAAGAAAAACAGAATCTCACAATGGGACCAATAGGCAATAATATCATGATAAACAGAGCAAAGATTTTTTTTTTGGGTCATGGGTTTCATCTTGCTTGGATCCACAATCAATTGTCATGGAAGCTGCAGCCAAGAGACCAAATGACACATTGCATTGGGTCAATATGCTGCACAAGACCCCTTTAGAGCACTGACAAGCAAGGATGCTACTGTCAGGGCCAAGGTGCAGCTGGACCCAAGCCATGGTATTTTCAATTGCCTCAAATGCACGTGAAAGTTGGACACTGATTAACGAAGACCAAAGAAGAATCGAAGCATTGAATTGTAGTGCTGGAGAGGGATTCTGCAAGTGCCATGGACTGCTAGGGGAAAACAAAGCCGTCCTGGAAGTACAGCCAGACAGCTCCTTAGAAGCAGAGGAGCATGGCTTTGTCTTACCCACTCTGGACATGTGATCAGGAGTGAGCAGTCCCTGGAGACGACCACCACGCTTAGAAGAGGGGTAGGGAGAGAAAAGAGGAAGGTCCCTGCAAAGATAAGCTGACCCAGTGGCTGCAACAATGGGCTTGGACAGGACAGGGGCCCAGGTGTTCCGCTGGCTGTGGGCAGGGTTGCTGAGTCAGGACCGACTGAAGGCACCTAAGCACCACCATTCAAGCCTCACTGTTAAGGTGTTATTTGCTCTTGCTTCCATTTTAGAAGAATTTATATTGCTCCGATAAGGTTTCTTTTCAAACTGATGTCTTATCCTTCTTAGTGCGTCAATCTAGATTCTGTTCTGGTCTGTCACAAGTTAGTATGAGTTTATTTTGATGCAGAAAATAAAATTCTGAAAGCCATGCAGTTTTTTCACAATACATACTTCTCATGAAAATGTTAAGACCACCCCCATGTATCTGTTTTACAAAGCACTTTCACAGGGCACACGTGGATTCAATTACCAAGTGTCACGAATGAATGTCGTTTGCTCCTTACGAAGTTTACTAGGAAGGTGGTACACCTCATTTCAGAGATAAAAAGATCACCATTTACAGTCAATTATGACCCCGGGATGCTATAGGACAGACAGTTCCCATAGGGCTCCCCGGCTGTCAATCGATATGGAAGCAAGCAGCCTCATCTTTCTCCTGTGGAGTGGCTGGTGGATTAATACCGCTGACCTCCTGCTGGCAACCTTGAACCACTTGAAGCCAGCAGGGCTGCTCTCAAGGGCATAATGAAAGGGGGCAAAACTGGTACTCCAATCCAGCTGTCCAATTTAAAACCAACCCATTCTTCTTTCACTACCGTGTCATAAAACCATTTGAAGCAGGTATGCTCCACACCCCAGAAAAAACCCCAAACATAGCGGACTAGTCTGCAGAAAGACCGAGAGGCAACAAAGCACAATAGCACCTGAGAAGGAAAGGAGAAAAACCAGGACGGCTTAAAAACACCCTGGATCCTCTTTTCCTAAATAATCTTGAGCATCTATTCAATGTTTTATACGAGGGGCCTTCGAAAACTTCAGGGGAAAACATCCATCTTATTTACATTCTACTTTTCCACGACCTTTTTGAACCCCCCTGGCACTTCAAATCTCCAGAGCTCACACAGAATCCTAACGGCAGACATCCGGTGAGCTCTTAAAGACATTAGCTGCAGTCGTTCACCAACTGTTGCTGTAAACAACACGTGCAAGTCATCTCTCCCCAACCCCCTCTAAAGAAAAAGCCGGCAGCGTTTTGCTTAAAAAAAAAAAAAAAAAAGGAAAAATAAAAAGGAAATTTTATTGTAGATAAAGACATTGCCAATTTACATAGATCATTTTTATTTGGAGTTTTTTTTTTTCTTCCTTGCAGTGCTCCTGAGAAATTCAGAAATGCATGGACGTTAGTGCTATTCAACACAAACACAAACTCACATCACGGTTTGTGCCTACATTCTCCATTATCCAGTCTTCCCTAAAAATCAACAAAACCGTTGATCAACTTTAATAAGTTAAAGACTGACAAGTGATCGCAAATGTCAGAACATGAAATGTACCATTATTTTTTCCCATAGGAATATATGAAATAAATACCACCTACACTTACTTGACATTTAAGACAGAGGACTTGCTGGGTGAGGGGAAGGCCTTGGGAACCGGCTCCAGTGGTGAGATCCAGTGGTGAGATCCGAGTGGGGTGCTTGGGAGCGCTCTAGCTGAGGACAACGCTCAGCGTGCTCCTGCCCCTGGGGCAGTTGTTTCGGGGGCTGTTCTCTACCCACCGAGTTGGGAAGTATTTTGGTGAGTCTCTTTTGACCCTGAAAACGTTAAAGTAACCTGGGAGCCTCACTGGGGGGGCACTGGTTTAAGGGGCTAGGAAGCCACACCCCTTCTCCTAGTTTCCCTCTTCACTTTGCCCTTCTCTTTCTAATCAACGCTGGCAGGAACGGAAAGTCAAAACCACACGTGATACAGGATCAGCTCCACATCCAAATCCAAGACTGGAGGAGTTTCCTACTGGGCGGAGAGGTTGCAAACCACCGGGAATGTTGAGAAAGCCCGATGAGGCGAAGGCAGCAGTCAACCACACGTTCAGTAGGTGCATGCAGCAAGAAGCAAGCAGCACCATCCCTGCAGGGAATGTGATGGAGCAGGGGACGCTAGCAAGCCCCTCCTGCTGCCAGCAGAACGAGCAGCCGCCCGCTTCACTGCAGGGCTGCTGAGAAGCTTCCTTGAGCAGATGGCTCGTCTCTGGTCCAACTCAGCTTCAGAGAAGCCGATGAGTTGTCTGGTTTAAATCTGCACACACTCAGTGTGCTATCAGTCAGTGGGGGGCATGAAGGCCAGCAGCGATGTGCCAAGGCCACGGCGCATAGACTGCAGCCCTGGAGGGCCATGCACAGTGGGGTGCGGGTCTGTCATCCATGCACAATAGCGTTCAAGCATCTGTGAAAACTATGGGGCCAGGGGCCACAGGGCATCGTGGGCAGGGAAGAAAACATCCAAAATGTCATGAAAGTCATTTCAACTATGAAGGTATGCTACTTAGATCCCCACCACACATCTCCTTTTCACATGACAGGAGAGAACCGAACTTCTATGGCTGTCATTTTTCCCAAACCAGGAACGGGTGTTTCCACGGCTTCAGAGAGAACGGAAGATGTGACAGGAAGCATCTTGGCAAAGAGCCGATCACCCCCAGAGGGACAGCAGCGACGGGGAGAACCGCGGGAGGCAGCTTTGGCGGTTCTAATGTGGACCTGGAATGGTAACTTCCTGTCAAGGGGAGGACCATCAAGAACAGCACTGTCTGTAAGCCACTTAAGGAGACAGGTGGTATTTGGGGCCAGTATGTCTCAGTGACGTAATTTCTCAGGACACCGAGGGCCACCGATGGGCATATCTTTAAAGCCTTCCCGTGTGCCCGACACAGTATGAAACGCCCAGAGTTCCTCGGGACGCGGTTCACATCTAACCACACTCTGCCTGGCCAGCCCCAGGCTTCTTTACACAAGCGGATTCAGGTGGTTTGCACCTTTCCTCGCTATACAAAATACTGCTCTTCTAGACACACTGCCGGGTGTGAAGGCCCCAGCAAACGTCTTTTCAAACACACAACTCATCAACTAACACAGACACAAACACTTGGGTACACTGAAGTTGCAAATCCGGGCGTTTGACGGGCTTCTCTAAAATGAAAACACTCTCCTTTTCACAGGTGCCAAACACCTGGTGTTGGGGTCTCTGGACACCCTCGGGTGCCAGCACTGCAGACAGACTCAGCATGGGGCAGTTCACACTATCTGGAGGTGGCGCGTGTTCATGGGAGGCAGCCGTTCCCTGTAAGGAGGAAAGCCTCCAAAGGTACCCTAGCTCCTCACGCGGCCTGACACTGTGCACTCCCCAATGAGAAGCCAGCCTGACACGGTGTGGATCACCCCCAGTGGAATGATGCGGTGTGAAAACAGCCCCTCTCAGAAGGCCTCGTACTTCAGGGCTCCCTTTCTGCAGGAGCCTTGAAGCGACGGCATTCGAGAGATGCACACGGAGGGTGGGTCATCTTGGTGGGCGCTGCCCTGTAGTTTGATCACGAGATTCTCCACATATTCAACTTGTACAGAACCGAGGATCAAAGCCCCCTGCGCCTCCATCTCTGACCTCCCAGGAAGAACTTCATCTTGACCTGTCCACACCAAGCTCTGTCAGGTGACTAACATATGCTCTGGAAAAACTCTCTGTACGAAGCAAAGAGGTCACTAGAAGTGACCTTTTTTTTTTTTTAAAAAAAAAGCTAAAACCAAATGTGTCTGGCTTAGAGGAGCTGATACAATCCTAGGAGGAAATAAAACAGTTGATTTATAGCTACTCCCATTTTTGTCTTTCTTTTTATTACTTTTTTGTAAATCAGATATGTCCAGCTGAAACGAGGGTCAAGGTAGAGGAGGAGGGCAGACGCTATGGCACACGTGCTCCTCCTCACCCGCCATTCCTTGTAAGCAGGAAGAGTCCTTCCATGAACCGTAGAGGGCCGCACCGTGACAAAGACACGGCTCTTCTCCAAAGGCCACTTTGTGATAGAGTACATCCACGTAGTGTTCACGATTTCTTTAAAGTGCTCGGTCGTCTCTGATGGGAGGATCAGCTATTGCTTTAAAAGGTCTTTCAGTACAACACCAGCGCTGTTGTCCAGGGACACTGGCAAGGGTGTGAAAGTAGGCAGGACATCTGAGATGGGCTTCAAAAGAAGATGCCCCGGCCCCCCGGGTCCGAGTGCAGTGGGGTTCACCAGAGGCACAGCTGCCGAGCGTGGAGCGATGAAGGGACTCGCGTCGGCCCCTCTGCCGGCTCTGGCTCCTGCTGAGCCTAGAGGACGGAAGACAGAGTTTAGGCTCTGCTCGGCTATCCCACGGACCGTCATGCACGTATGGGCCCGGACGGCCCATGGGCTCCATCCCCACACCTGTCTGTAAGGGAAGTAGTTGGCACAGTTAGGGAGAGTTCATCGCTAGCGTCCTGGTGCACAGTGTGCCTTTCCAAGCACAGAATCACGAAGGGAGCACTTCCAGGTACACGGAAACACCCTCAACACAGCATCACAGTAGTAATGGTCCTGACGCTTGAGATGTGTCACAGAGCAACGCCTGTTTGCTATCACAAAACACTGTGTCCCTTAACATTTTAATGCAATAGGTTTTGCGTGTGTGTGTGTGTGTGTGTGTGTGTGTGTGTGAG